TAAAGATTCAAACAGGAACAAGGAAAAAGAAAGAAAAAGACAGGACTAACTAGTAAATAGATGTTAAAGACAAAAAGGATGAAAGTCATTAGTCCTTTGGTCTTGGAAGCAAGGTTAACTAGAAATGTTAGGAAGATAAATTTGCAAAAAATGGGACCCCCAGACTAGTCTTGAAAAATGTGGGAAAAGGTGATCTGTTTGTAGTTTTGCTATAAAGACAAGGAGAGAACTGGGCAATTGCTCAAGGATGAGTTTTGGGGTTTCAAGGAAAAAAGATGCATCTAAAGTTAAGATATACATAAGTAATAATTGCTGAATACATTTGATCATCTGAACCAGTCATGCTCACCAACCACCTCCATAGCTGACCTCAGCTTAGTGGTATTGTCAATCTAGAAGACAACAGATTCCACTGAAAATAATGAACAGTTCACTTGTATCAAATGTATTCTGATATAACACATACTGTGGGAAAATAGTGTACACAGCTTGTCATTGGTACACACAGGAACTGGCAGAACCTTGTCTTCAGTTTTAATTCATACAGCTCATCACCCCCTCATTCTTAAAGTTTTCATTTTGAGATTGGCAGACATTAAAATCAGTCAAGGATGAGGTGTGTCTTCCACTGCTTATAGACTCACAAGTAAATCCCAGCCTACACAAACTCTCAGCAGCAGCTGAGTAAGTGGTTTTGGCAGTGGAGTTGGTGTCTGGTATGACAGGATCTTAGACAGCTCTAGTAGCTAATGAACTAGAAAATCAAATTGCTCTATCTTCATCCTTGATGCTCAACCTGCCACTGTTGAGGTTAATGGTTATTTTTGCCATGAATCCTACAGGAAGTAGCAAACGTGCATGCTATTCCTCCAAGGCTGATGTACTGTATATTCAGGTTTTTTAATGGACCAATTTCCAGGTTGGTAAAATTTCAAATAAATGTGTTTGAAAAGTGCGGGCAAATATTTGCTATGTGGTTGAAGTGTGTTAATACCCTGGCTGTGAAAAATGCTTGTGTACACAAACTGACACAAGATGTCATTGACTGTTAATACGCTGGCGAACCTCATGGCTGGAGAGTGATGTTGTGTTTCTTCTTCCTCTAAGTGACTGCTTTCACTGACATAGCAGGCAAGCATAGTTCTGCAAGGCTAAAACCTACAGCAGGCATTAGATTACAAAGGTCAAAAAGCTGTGCAGTATTCCTACCAGATCCATCTGCAGTGGGATCCACTTTTGCTTGTGGTATGCAGAAAAATCTTTTGAAGGAAAACTCTATTTCTGGGACTGGTGGTTCATCTTCTGTAATAGAGATGATTTCAAGACTTCCAGTAGTGGGATTTGTCTCTTGTACCTGAGTCAACTGGATTAAAAAAAAATAGTTAAAAAAAATAATCACCTTGTAACATGTTATCATAGAATCATAGAATGGTTTGGCTAGGAAGGGACCTTCACCTAGTCCAACCCCCCTGCAATGAACAGGGACATCTTCGACTAGATCAGGTTGCCCAGTAACACATACAGCCTGGCCTTGAATGTCTCCAGGGATGGGGCATCTATCACCTCTCTGGGCAACCTGTGCCAGTGTTTCACCGCCCTCATTGGAAAAGATTTCTTCCTTATGTCTAGTCTAAATGTGCCCCTTTTTACCATAAAACCATTACCCCTTGTCCTACTGCTACAGGCCCTACTAAAAAGTTTGTCCCCATCTTTCTTATAAGCCCCTTTAGATACTGGAAGGCTGCTGTAAGATGTCCCTGGAGCCTTCTCTTCCCCAGGCTGAACAACTCAAACTCTGTCAGCCTGTCTTCATAGGAGAGGTGCTCCGGCCCTCTGATCATCTTTGTGATTCTCTTCTGGACCCACTTCAACAGGTTCATGTCTTTCCTGTGCTGAGGACTCCAGAGCTGGACACAGTACAGTAAGTTGTGTACTTAATGTTCATGACAGGAGCTCTTACAATGAATTCAACATCAAACTGCTGAAGTTAATTTTTGTTAAAATTTGTCCAAGCACTGTAGTTACTTTTAATAACTGGGAGTGTGAATCCATCCCCTGCTTTTTACTGTCAATAGGAAACAAGAGAGACTAAAAAGCATATAACAGATGCAGATCACCTGACAGGATCTTCATGCAGCGGCCCACTTAATTTTACTCCAGAAAACCTTTGATGACTTTCCACACAGTGAAAAATAATTAAACCATGCTATACTAGAATTCAGGGTAAATAGATTTGCAATGCAAATTTCTAACTCTGGTTATGCACGCTGTCACTGGCAAAAGAAATCAGATTTTTGAACTCACAGTGATGTGAAATAGGTCCAGGTTTGTTAAAGACAGTGGAGCTGGTAAGCTGTAAAAAAAGCACTTTTGCAGAGTCAGTCCCAGAAAATGCTCACAATGCCACATTTTAGGCAAAGAATACATACTTTGTCTGCAGCACTGTATCTTTAAGTCACCTGGAATATCTTTTTGCTTTTCAGCAAACAAGTGCAAGAAGGTTTCTACTCTTTCATTTGGTAAAATTTCATGTACATTTCAATGAACATAAATTAAACTTTACACAGTCTGCTGGCTTTAAGGCAGAGAAAAGGACAGCTTGCTGTGCATGATTTTTAAATATACATGTATTTTAAAAAGCCTTGTAACTGGTGCATAGGTTGTCCATCAGGAAACTAAACAGCATTGTGAAGTATACTACATAAAAGCTAGACACTGATGTGTCGTTTATTTAGAAGATATCACATGCTCCCAAAGCTTCACTCACCTCTTCCTGAGAAGTCATAGTTAAAAGCAAAACTGTTTTCTTTCTTCATTATCAAAAGAAACCAAAAGGAAATTCTGAGGTTGCTAAGCCACTCTGCTCTGGAAATGTTTTCACTGAGCCGCCGTGGCTGCCCGCTCAGTCAGTTGTTGCATACGGCATTATGGCAGCAGCCTGTGTAATTCAACCTGGTGACGGGTATCGGATAGCCCTGGATGGCATGGCTGCGGAAAGAAGAAGATAAAAATTCAGCATGCTTTTTAATTAGCCTGAGAATGTCAGGTAATATTGTAGTATTTGCAAACTTTTCTGTAACCTGTCAGCAAAGCACCACCACAGCTGATGAGCACATGCTCATCTTTTATGAAGACTTGTGCAGCTGAGCAGTCTGCCCATAGCTGTGGGATGCAGAGGGTAGAAGCTCCAGGTGTTTTATCTCTTCAGCACACAAGGCCAGAGCAATTGTATTGTGCGTTACTTGTGTTTATTGTTTGAGGTTTTTTTTCCCTTTCCCCTTGTAGTTTTATATACTCCCTCCTTCTTATTTCTCTTATCATTATTATTAATAGTAGTATTGGTATAATATCATACTTCAGTTATTAAATTATTCTGATCTCAACCCGTAGGTTTTACATTCTTTCGATTCTCCTCCTCATCCTGCCTGGGGTGAGTAAGCAAATGGCTGCATGGCATTTAGTTACCAGCTGGGTTTAAACCATGACAGTCCTGAATAACTTATACTAAGTATAATATATATATTTAAATATTGCAAAATATTTTGGAAGCACCTTGCAAGCAGTATCTCATGTTTCTGAAGTATCAACTCATTTGTACTGTGGGATTTAGAAAATGAAAATATATGTTCAGCTTCATGAAATGCTCAAGATTAGTAATAATTTGGCTTGGGTTTTGTTTGGTTTTTTACTAAGAAGACAGGTTGATGACAGAGGGGAGGGTGGAAGGAAGAAGCAGGAAGACAGATGAAGCAAAGGCCATAACAATTTAAGTGAAATAAGGCTCCTGAGAGGTCATGGAAGAAATGAAGGTTTTGATGACAAAACACAGTTGTGATGAGAGAAGCTCTTCATTCCTTTTGCTGTGCACAACGGAAACTGGCACTTCCAAAGGAAAGGACGCTGTATCATCATCCTGTTAACTGCTCACATCCAGGCCATGATGTTAAGAGTTCATTATCTCTTATGCCACTCTTTCAGCAGCCTTCCCTGGAAATGGGAAACACAGGGATGCGTAAGAAAAAATATAAAAAAGAAAGCAGACAAGGATGTATAAAGAAAGCTGTATTTCTTTAGTTGCTCACAGTGCTCTGATGCCCTCCCCATTGGACTTCAGAGACAAACAGTTAGAGAAGCAGCCCAAACTGGCCAGGTGCCCCAAGGGAAACTACAAACAAGAAGAATAGAAGTCTCCTTTCAGGACACCAGAAGCTCTGGTGACCCTTTTAGTCCTGTCCTCCTCAGGGAGCTGCAGTACCTACAATGAGGCCAGAGAAAATTGTCTCCAGCCATTTCACCTGCTCTGGCCATGCTGGAAGCACCAGGGAACAGCCAGTACAGGTCTGCAAAGGCTCCCGTGGTGGACCTGGCACCACTGGAAAGGGCAGGTTTCACCCTGCTGTCACCATAAGCTGCTCCAAGCCTAGTGTCAGGGTATGATGTTTTGATATGACATTGGGTTTGACCTTGAACAGTTGTCTGGCTCATCACCTTTGGCTGAGAAGACCAGAGCAGGAACTATGTACAATAGCGACAGGAGGACATGAAAATCAAACCCCAAAGGATAGAATGTGGCCTAACTGCTTACATGCTTTAGGACATCCCTGCTCACCTCTCCCCCATCGCAGTAGCAAGTGGATTTCCTGGTTTTCAGAAGACTATTTAAACTGCAAGGCTAAAAGATCCCATCTCAGACCCTTCAGCAAGTCCATCCTGACTGTGGTGTTTGCCTTTGGGCTACTAGTCTTGTTCTGCTGGGGTGGGTGGGAAATACCTGAGGATATCTTTCGCTTTTTTAGCCACGCTAAAACGAAAATTCAGAGACACAGATGCTACGAAAACAGGATGTCAGCTTTTGTCAGAAAAGATCACAAGAGGTTTGAGGGTTTTTGTATTTTAGCTGCCTCTTTCTCTCTCTCTCATTTTCTTACTCCCTCCCATCCTCCTCCCACCTCACAGTTTCTGTCAGCACTCATCACACAGTCAGGGGAAGAGTGGAGGAGATGGCAGTGGCCGAGACACAGCTGTACGCAAAGGTGTCCAACAAACACAGGAGCAGACGCACCTCTGTACTCCTTGAGCCTCTCCTTGCCAAAGGATTCCCAGCTCATATCGCGTGAGTAATGTGTTTGGCTGCCTTTGCACAATAAGAGGTATTTAAAATAAGAGATATTTCTCATAAGAACATGACAGCAGGCAGCTTGGCTTTTTCATCAAGAGAGCATGCTGCTTCATGGGGTGATGTCCCTATACAGGGATCAGACCTACCTCGCTTTGGATTTCCTGTAAAGCAGTGTGCATTGCTTATATTGCAAAAAAAAAAAAACAAACAACCAAAACCAAAACCAACCCTGCTATGTACCCATTTTTATAAATATTGTGTATATCTGAAAAAACATGTCCTTCCACATCTTTGGGTTGAGAGGCTTCACAATGAATTAAGACGTTAAAGTCCGTATTTTGCTCTTGGGATATAGTATCTTTCATTTTCTGCTTATCACTGCTATTACAAGGGAATTAAATGTGGATTTAACTTCTATTCAAAGCTTTTTTCAGGCCTGGTGGAGACCTCCCCCTGGATTTTGTCACTGGAAACTTAAAACAGTGAGCTTTCCTTAACAAGATGCCATATAAGTCTGTCAATTTTTCTTCCTGTCTTGAATCAGGATCTTGTTCCAAAAGCGTGTCCTGCCTGGAAAATGTACAAGTAAAGAATGAGGCACTATTCTTGGCAACCACAGGGGATAAGAGATTAACTGGCGGCAGCTAACCAAGCTAATAAAAAAGAAACATGATGGTCACTCCTCCCTCAGACATCATTCTGGTTGTACAGGAAAGTTTTGGGGAGGATTTTTCAGCTTCTGAAGGACAATTATGGACACCTCAGCTCAAACTGTTAAAAAAATAGATATTTTTATTTATATGTCAAAGAACTTCATAAAAATGTTTTAGAAAGGAGAACAATATCTCTCCCCTTGGACTGAAAATTAAGCAAGTTGAAAAGGCTCCATTCATAAATGCTGTGATGCTGTTTTAGGAATAGCTGTGTTTAGCGCTTCAACTTTAGACACAATGTGCACAGTTTATGAGGAAACTGCGGGTCCCTTTTTCCCAGTTACGCACAGGGGAATTTTAGCTGAAAACATGGCTCATCATTTCCCTAGTAATACTATAAGTTTGGTCACCCCGAAGTAATGCCTAGTTTTCTTTTTTTTTGTCCTGTATGCAATGTACTTCAAATCCCCTTCTATACACTTACTGCTGTTGCTGAGATGGCTTTGTGCTTCCCAGGTCGAAACCAAGAAGCAGTGGCAGAAGTACTATGCAAATCGACATAAAATGACAAAATGTCCAAAAGCACCTTATTTTTAATTTATTTGCTTTTATTGACTTTAAGACCTTCAAAATGTTGTGTTTTTATAAAACCTTTTAGCTGTCTCTTAGTTCCTGGATTGAACTGTAAATTGAAGTACTGAAAAGTTGTTCTTTTGGTAAGTTCTAGCCTGAGGAAAAGAGGCTGGGTGGAAATATTACAAAATCTTTCATAATGTAGAATCAGCAGGCCAAAGCAATATTTCCCCAAAGAATAAAGCCCAAATATGTGAGGGCTAAGCTAAGCATCAGGTCGACAAAATGGGCCTTCCCTGGTGCTTATACAGAACTGAACTTGTATCAGCAGATTCTGCTTTAGGGAAGAAACAGTTCATTCTTGCAGTAAAGGCACTAGTTTTAATACAGATTTTCAAAGTTTTATTCCTACTCTCTATCTGAGAGAATCTGGTATACTCAGAATTTATTCTACGCATTATCTTTTGATCTTCACTGCTCATCTTGGAAGCATAGAATGCCTAGTCACAGCCTAATGCTCTCCTGACTCTAAGGGCTCACTCCAACAGGTCCACGTCCGTCTTATGTGGGGGCCCCAAAGCTGAATGCAGAACTCCAGGCTGAGTCTCACCAGAGTGGAGTAGAGGGGGAGATTCACCTCCCTCAATCTTGGTTTACCCAACCCTAAAGAAATCTTTATAGTCAGTAGGGCTGCTAAGGAAACACCTCCAGAATACAAAGGATGGTATCCTATGGAGAGGACAGGTTAATCTTCAAAGAATTAAAGACTTGCAGTGGAAAATACTATTTGGAGGGCTTCAAGAACATTTGTATTTGCCAGGCACTACCTAGTTGTTAAAGGTCCTGTCTGTGCTGGAAAATAGACTTTGTGACCACAGCATGTCTATGCTTTACTTTCTAGTTTTCTTTCTGTCATTCTGAGGAACTAATTTTGGTTTTTATTCTAGGCAAAAAGCCTTGGCTGCTACTGGACAAAAGACGGTGGAAGATGCTGCAAAATGGTAAGTACCTATGATTTTGCATTAAACCTGGCTGAAAATCCTTCTTCATATGCTGATTCTGTCACTGTATATGAAGTTATCTGCCATAAAAAGCTTGCATCTAAGTTCTTTTTTTTTTTTTTTTTCCATTTTCGTTCACGCAGAGAAAGAAATAATTGTATTTGTACTTATTCTGGGAAGTGAGGTTATTTGCAGAATCCAGTCTCTCTTTGCATTTTCTTCTGGCTTTTGTTGTAGGCTTTCTTCCCCCCTCAATTTAATTGCTTTTTTCTTTTCTTTATGTGAAAAGCCAGAGGATACATTTGACTATGGCATCTTCTTCCCTAATATTTTTTTGTTTGGGATGCTACCATGCTTTTCAAGAACCACTCCCAATCCAACAGCTGCAATGCCAAACACACAGCATGTGAAAAACAAGGTGAAGGATATCATCACATGGGATATAAGTTTCTGATCTTTGCTTGTGCATTTTCTGATTTGTCTTGTTTGCCTTTATCAGGGCTGAATAAAAAGACTAGCTCCTTCTGAGTATTTTTAAGATCTTCAGTTAGCTTTTATTTTGTCATTCTTAAATATTTTCTACACATTTCTTTTTTCCCTCCTCCAGTCCTCTGTTTCCAGACATGAAAAAGATGGAAAATAACCAAAAAAGCCCTAAAAAAATCTTTTTTTGTTGTCCTTCATTTTCAGATATTGAAAGAAGTGACAGCACATCATAAAGTGTAAAGTACGCAAAAATAAGCAGTAAAAAAAAAATCTCCATTAGCTAGGACTTCAGAGAGAAAATTTGTAATGAGTTTTTATTTTAACTGTTCACTTGTGAGAAAATAACAACCTTTCATTTCCTTTTTCTGGTCTCTACTATGGATGCCTTCAACTACAGGAAACAAGAGTAAGCAGCGCTCATGCTCTCTGTGATGTGCTCTTAATTTCAGGTTGCACTCTCACTGCAATGATCCCTCTTTGGATGACCCAATCCCCCAGGAGTATGCTCTTTACCTGTGCCCCACTGGCTGTTTGCATAACTACCTGGTAGAGTTTTGGAAGGAGAGCAAACGCCAGTGCGGGAAAAACAGAGCCCATGAGATTTTTCCGCACATCACTCTCTGCGATTTCTTCACGGTAAGGCATAAAACATGTGCGCGTGTCACATATCAGCTACTGGTGGAACTGAACCATCTGCCATTGTCTTACACCAGAACTTCTCCTTGGAGATCAAACTGACACGACCCAGGACCAGACATGCTTCCTTAACATTTGAATGTTCAGCCTCTGTGTAGGCATCGGGGGCTTTCTTCCCACCACCCACTTTAGCTACCCACCTTAGGTCTCAGTGTACCTAAACACTGAATGCTGAGGCCAGTGGGATGCTTCAGGGTAGCAGAGTGACGCGTGTCTAGTATTCATCTAGAGCAACCCTGCGCAGTCCATGCTACACATGGACCTACCAGCAGGAAGCACTGCTCCTCACATGCAACTATCAGCCGGCTTCAGAGACTGTGTCCATTGCTGCATCAATCTAGGATGTTAAACCTTCCTGGTCAGGGCAGCAGTGGCTGCCTTCAGCCAGTTGTGCAATGGTGACAGCATTATCATAGGACGTAGACAACTTTGGTACTATGACTATGGGAATTTCAGGGAAACCCCTGCCTTCCCCAGATAGCTCCAACCAGAACACCACTGCTATGGTGGCGTGTTACAGACTTTACCCAGCTTGGATGTTGTGAAAAAGAGGGAAGCAGAATGCACAGGGGTGGAAGGAGCAAGGGGAGCCAGACTGGAGCCCAGCAGTGCAATGGAGTCACTTTGCCAATAGTTTCACATGGAAGTTTGGCTCCTGAGTTGGACTCCTGGTGGGCCGTTTTCTGGTTCTAGATCTGTTCTCCTAAGTGCCCTTCTGTCCTGGGTTCAGCTACAGCAGTCATTTTATCTCCTTCTTAGTAGCTGGTGCAGTGCTGTGTTTTTTGACTTTCAGCCTGGGAACAACGCTGATAGCACCGATGTTTTTAGTTGTTGCTCAGTAATGTTTACTCTGACCAAGGACTTTCTCAGTCTCATGCTCTGCCAGGGAGGAGGGGAAGCCAGGAGGAAGCAGAGGCAGGACACCTGACCCAAACTGGCCAAAGGGGTATTCCATACCACAGCACGTCATGCCCAGTATAGACACTGGGGGGAGTTACCCGGAAGGCCCAGATCGCTGCTCGGGTCAGGCTGGGTATCGGTCGGCGGGTGGTGAGCGGTTGTGTCCTTTTCCCTTGTTATTCCTCTTATCATTATTATTGGTAGCAGTAGTGGTTTGTATTATACCTTAGTTACTGGAGAGCTGTTATCTCAACCCGTGGGAGTTACATTCCTTCGATTCTCCTCCCCATCCCTCCGGGAGCGGGGGGGGGGGAAGGAAGAGGTGGGGAGTGAGCGAGCAGCTGCGTGGTTCCAAGTTGCCGGCTGGGCTTAAACCACGACACCTTCTGATTGCTGGTGACTCTCTAGAGAACTTCCCAGCAAAGCTGCTTCTCCTGCATAAGTGAATGTGCTTATCACAGAGACAAGCAAGGAGACACTAGTCTGGAAAAACTCTGGAACCACCTGGAATCCAGGTTTCACATATTGATGGTGCAGCACATGAACATCAGCTACAGCCAAGATGCGCTGAAACAGAGAGCAGTGCATTCACACTTGCACTTGCTTGACCCGTTGTAATGACTAAATGGAGCAAATAGCTCTGTGGAGGAGAATAAAGCAGCCCAGAAAAGGAGCATTGTTAGCATTCCTGTCTAGGGCTACATGCAACAAATTCTATATTTGTCTCTGCACTTCATAAATTGCTTAATTGCCACTTATTCTGTGGAAGCAGGGTTCTGTACAATCTAATTTGCTATGATTAGAGCATTAAGGATCATAATGACAAAGAAGCCTTATGAATTTTGCTAGATATGTTGCTCAGCATCTGAGATCTTGAAGATTTAGCAGGAGTAATTTCAGCTAAGGACTGTAGGATAGCAATAATACAAATTCTTACTTAAAACTGAAAGGGAAAATCATGATCCCTGCCTATTTTCAGACAGGTTACTGCACACCTGTCAGATGGTAAAATCTTTTAGCTCTTTACTACCCAGGCTAGACACACCTCCTGGTACAAGGCTCCATCTCCTATATATTATAGGACACTGTGTGCTGATCGAACTGTCCAATATTACTGATTTTAATACCAGGAATTTCAGGCACGTTCATAGGTGTGTTGTCTTTCTCAGGAAGTCTAATGCCTGTGCTGTTTTCTGATACTACTGTATAACACAGGCTACAATACGGCTGTTGAGCCCATGGGTAAAGCCTGCTCCTCCTCTTTCAGTGTGAAGACCAGAAAGTGGAATTATTGTATGACACTTTAAAGAGAGTTGGTGAAAGCTTTTCACAGCTGTTTCCGCCATCCATTTCCTTATCACTACATTCATCCACCAGTTACCTTGGCTTCTTCATTGATGACAGACATGCAAATATCCTCAAAGACTTTGCTCTGGCGTTCTCCTCAGAAGCTTCAGCCGTGGCAGGTAGGACAGACATCAGAGCCAAAATGGGTGGGTTGTAGCACAAATGCTTAGGCATGGTACTGAAAACATCTCCTGTGTCTCTGTGGAAGCTTAGCTGGTATTTTACTGCCAGCAAGCATCCTTTCCTCATACAGATTTGAAAACAAAGGGGCTAGGGCAACATGTTTTACACTTTGAAGACACAGTGCTTTTATCTAGAAGCTGAAATGATTGGCTGTGTAACTTGATAAGCCATCCAACAGGATATCCAAGATGGGCAGTGATATAGTAGTCCCTATTCCCAGACCTCCATCCCCACGGTGCTTATGGCCCAGCCTGATGGCTTGACTGCATCCTTGAGAAATAGGTTCTCATCCTCACTCTAGTGACATCAAAGGGAAACTGTATCATCAATGGAGACTGAAGGGACACAGGCCCAGCATAGCTTAGCCTGGGAGAAACAAGTTCAATACATCTCAGACTGAGAGAGGAATTCAAACCCTGTTCATCTTTTTCTCCTGGTTGAAGCCAGGGAGCAAATCCAGTCCAGGTTTGTGAATTATCTTGACATGATTAAAACCATGATATTCTGCAAAACCACTACTCAGCAAAACTACGATCTACTCTACTACTAATTACTGTGATATTTCCTGCATCATGCAAGGCATGTAGGACAAAACAAGAAGAGCTTTAAATGACCTTTGCTTCTATGTTTTGATGTGATTTTTTCATTCCTAGATTGCCATGTGAAGCCCTGCCTCAAGCAGCTCCACCTTACCTTGTCTCACAAGTTTTATCCTCACCATCAGAAGACTTTGGAACAATTAGCCAAATGCATTAACCCAGGGGAGACCTGCCAGTGGGTAGCTACACTCTACTCACGGGACATGCGTTTTGTGCATTACCAGGTACCATCATCAGACTTATTTGACTGAGCCCGTGGTCAGACTCTTTGCTACAGTCATCTTGCCTTTATTTTGCATGAAGAAAATCAGTGCATGCACAGTTCAGTGTTTAAAAAAACCACAGTTTTTTCAAGTACCTCTTAGGGTTGAAAAACTGTATTCATGAATCAGTAGAAGACATCTTTACGGTAGGCTGCTTGACCTGCATGTCAGCAAGGTCTAATTCCAAACTCCAGTGGAAAAAAATAATCTTCCCATCACATGAGAAAATAAAAGATACAGGAAATGGTAGTCCTTAAGTATTTGCTAAGATTCATAAGATCACAGATTTGTAGTTAAAGTCTATTCAGCAAGATTAGTTTTCTTGATAGTTTCAGCCATAACAAAACTCAGATTAAGTGTCAGTGAACAGGGCACAGTTCTTGCTGCTGATTTTGTGCTTAACAGACTAAGTTAAAACCAGTCAACATTTTTCCAGTTCTAATTTCCAAATTTAGCTTATGGAATGATCAACATTTTTTAGTCAGATCAATATATTGCAAGTCTCATGTTGGATTTTGGTCACACTCAGGAGAGCTGCAAGTAATCACAAAAATAACTGATAACAGTTTTGCTATGTTTGTTTTCAAATAAGTCTGTATTAGTTACAGGCGAAAAAAAAAGTATTTTTATTAAAAACAAGTGCCTATTTTTACATGTACTGCCAATGTGGTAGTGTCTTCCTTTTTCTCTGCCCAAGTGCCATTAAAAAGCACATTGCAGAGTGTAAAATAGTACTGGTTGCTGTTGTCCGGCAGAGAGTTGGACAAGCATCCCCTGAGCTGCTGTGGCAGGGGCAGCAGCAGGCTCCCGGCAGCAGCCTGACTCTACTGTGTGTTCCCCCTAGACACGGAGGGCCCTCTTCCAGTACAAGCCCCAGAACATTGATGAACTCATGATCAATGCTGGCGACTTTATCTACGTTGACCCGACGCAGCAGTCTGATGTGAGTGAAGGCTGGGTGATTGGGACCTCACATCGCACTGGCTGTAGGGGTTTTCTTCCTGAAAACTACACTGAGAGGGCCAACGAGTCAGATACATGGGTTAAGCACAGGTAAGTTGGGGTTTCATGGATTTTGCTTTATGTCAGCTGCTTTTCCTGCTGGGGAGCTGTGGCAGTCTTCCTCCTCGCCATGAGCTATGGGGTGCCAGGAGGGAGCTGAAGGTGGCATGGGCAAAGCAGAATGGGGTCCTGGAGGTCTGGGCGGGATGCTGAGGCTTCTGAAAGACATGAGATAGGACACACACACACAGACACCCAGAGTTCATTTGCTCAGATGTCCAAGGAATGACCCCTATTTGCTCTTGAACAAGCTGGACATCCTAATGAATTTTAAAACTCTATGTTCTGCTGGGCAGGCTGAGCCTTCAGCCTGGCTCACTGCTTTCTTCATTTTTCTCATTTCAAGAGCTTGGAAAGTTAGCTGGAAATGAAACCACCTCCTTGAGCCCACCCTTGTCTTGTTGACTTGCTCTGTATCAGCAGGCATCTACCTGTACTTTGCAGCTGACAGCACAGCTGATGCTAATTGTAGATTAGAGCTGATTTTTCTAGGTGGGGAGACGTAGGTGTGCTTGTTGCTGAGTTCTCTGAGACAGAGGGGAGGCAACCAGGTAGTATTTCCTGCTTGAGGGTCACACTTTAGCAGGGTTTCACCCAATACATGCTGTCAGTTCATAGAATTTTAACCTCATTTTTACTGAGTTTATTCTAAATCTAGAGCAAAGTGATGAAGTGGGTTGCAAGTGTGCAAAAAATATTGAGTGGAATGTGAATCCTGACTTACATGTGCCTGTAGACAAAGTTATTACTTGAAAATCCCTTCTATCTGTGTGTGTGCCTATATGTTTGTGTGTGTGTGTTGCTTCTGTTTTTTCTACAGGGAATATGTTTTTGTAACAGCTTCAAGACTCTTCATCCAAACTGAAAATGAACCTAATCTAAAGTCAAATGGAGAAGTCCAAAATCCTAGCATGTCAAGGAGTGTAACCAAGGTACTTTCTCTTCAGATAACTGGTTTTTTTCCGTTTCTTCTTTGCCACGTGCTTGTGCAGATATGCTATTGATTAAAAGCATTTAGTAAATTTAATAATATCTTCATTTTTCTTCCTCACATTTTCATGTTATTTTGTAATGCACATATACATATATCCACATACTCATCCTGTATAGTATAATAGCTCATAAATATTTTGAAATGTATAGGATGTATATTACTCTTGTCTTCTTTCATGGAACTCTTTCCATTTGTGTCATAATAGCACAACATATGGGTTCTCTGCTCAGGTTTCTCTGTGCACAGCTTTACTGGGTAAGCTGTGCACAGATATGGCAACATGTCTGACAGGTGAGATACAGCCACAACTTCCCCTGACTCCCATATAGTCTGTAGCAGAGTAACTAGAGTGGAATTATGTTCATTGTTACTTCTATGGCCAGATTCTATGCATGTCACCTTGGTAGCTTACATCGTCCCAGATCTTAGCACATTTAAATGTTTTACCTTCTTTTGTATTTTTAGATATAGAGCTAATTCAAATAACTGCATAGAACTGCAGCAAAAAAGCAACTAGCTGGAAAGGTTAGCAGCACTGATGGGATTGCATTTTTGTCCCAGTTTCAAAATCAACATGTATCATTTTTTCCCCAGGTTTTCCACTTGTCTTCTGGTAGGAAGAACAGAATAAATAGGATTCTTATTTTATCTGCAGCACACTTGCACCTGCATTGCCTTATTTGCTCTGTCAGGGATGTTAAGATGGTCCTTTCTGGCATACTGACATGCCGCAGAAACTCCTTTGGGTTTGCTGGCCCCAAGGCCTCTCTTCTAGTTGTGCTGGGGGATAGCCCTATGTTCATTTGTGTTAACATCAAAGAAACTTGAAGGCACCTTGAAGGGGCCTCCCAGGATGCTGTGTGTAAGACAGTAGGACAGAAACTTCCACACGACTCACGCATCCTTCCACAGACTCTTGACTGCTCTCAGCCTTTCTTATCTAGCACAAAACTGTGGCAGAGCCACTGCTTGGCCTGAGGAACATGTTTTGCAATGTACACACCTCCAGTCTAGAGTTTCCTTGGCCTCTGGGTTCCTCTCAAGCGGAAAAGCAAGACCACAGAATCTTAGTTTTAAACTCTGATCTTCTGGTGGTTGATTTCTGTTTCATGACAGAAATGCAATAGTGTTCAACAGAATACATGAATATAAATTTCATACCACTTCTTAAGAATTTCCTTCTCTGCAGCTGTAGATACACATCTCTAACCTCAGTGCTGCAGCAGTAATGCTGTGATGGGTTACTGTTGAAGAAGACTTAAAGCCTTTGACCCATTCCTCCTTATCTTCTCATCTGTATTTAACGTGTATTTTATACTAACCCCAAACTACTTAGAACTTGTTTGTAATTCCATGCAGTCTGAGTAAAAAAAAAAGTGGCCTCAGAAGAGATGTGGGTTCACTGTTGACCTGGCCACACAGGTATGAAAATGTAGAAGTAGCATTTCGTTAGCAAACAAAAGACAAGCTTGATGTTAGTCCTGGTGTAGAGAAGACCATTATCACTTAAACGTTAGCCAGTTACCCTCTTTTGTTTATATCAACTATAAAATGTATATGAAAATTATAATTCCTTCCCATACTGAAATTAAAAGATCTATTATCAGCACTACCTTTCACTAGTGGAAACACAGAGTTAAAACCTAATCTGTACCCCATGAAGTTCAGGAATCTCCTTCATTTGCCTTCAATGGGGAGCCAGTCAGGCTTATGGTTGCGCTAAAGATAGGCATCTGTTGTAGCAGCTCCTTTCTCTCCCCCACTGTGCTTGTTAGAAACCTCCCAGGACAGGTCTGCTCTTCCTCTGTCAGGCAGGACCCAGGAATCCAGACTTCTTATGCAGGTTATATATAATATCTTAATGAGAAACCCTTTTCACACAGATGTCTCAGAATGCCATCCTGCGGAGAGGAGTGCTGGTGATGCGCCATGGAGAAAGAGTTGATCAGGTCTTTGGCAAATCTTGGCTTCAACAGTGCTTGACTGCAGATGGTGAGTAAGATAATAGGAGAATCTCAGCAAATGTGAACCAAAACTGATTAACGCTGGTGATGAGAGCAAGACACTCCTATGTGTAAATGTAAACACCGACACAAGCAGGTAACATTGCAAATCAGACACAGCAGCTTTGACCTGCACGTAACTGGTTCATAATGTTCTAAAGTCCTTCATGTTTATGTTGGATAAACTCTGTAGCACAAGCAAAGCTCTTGTGATACTGATGGATGTGTCTCTAAAACAAGATCTTTACTGCTCATTACAAAAGCTGGTGGTTGTCAGATCCCTCCACCATTCAGTGCTTGAGTCAGAACCATGGTCTGTTATCAGAGTCACCATACATCACTAGTCAAACCTGGGGGGCAAAAAGCAAGACCAAACCATGGTGGAAATGTCAGCACTGATCTAAATTAAAAGCTGAATTTCTTGGTGTTCTCTCTCTTAAAAAAGTATGTTTTGAGGTGAAGAAAGCTACCCAGAAGAGGGAAATGAATAGTGTCAAGAGGAAAGAGGGGAACAAGAAGGCAGGAGTTCAGAAGGGAGATTTCTGTGTTGAAAGACTCTTTTGTTAGGCTGGAGATCTCCTATATTAAGTTCAGAGTGGATGTCAGGGTGGTACATTCTGGCTGCATAACCAGTTGGTTTTTCTTTGGTGGAAATGTTGCTTTTTGTCCTTTTGGCAATGATAAAAGAATATTGATATGGAATGAATTTTTGTTTCATTTGAGACCCAAAAAGCTAAATTCTCACAAATTCTTGCCCCATCTCTTCCCCACATTTGCTCTTTCAGAGCTTGCAGAAGAGGTGCTGTTTTGTTAGGACAGGTGATTTCCCAAGCCAGGGTTGTGACATTAAAACATGTTGTCATTAAGGTAATAGCAGTGACTGGTGGTTTTTTCATCAGTGAGGCACTCTATCTGTAGTACTAAAATAATCCTGTAGGCATCTGAGTTCAGGCACTGCCTCATGATCCCCCAAACTGAGTGAGTGCAGACCACAGTCTGTCCCCAGTGGACAGAAAGCATGGGTGCTTGAGGTGGAGAGAAGAGAGATTAGTTCCTTGGGCAGATGCTCTGCTTCATTACTTGCCCTCTTGTCCAGGGAATGGGCTTTGGCGTATTCCATTTACCAGTCAAGATGTCACTCTAGGCTGAGTTTCCAGAACCAACCATCCAACCATCCAGAAGAAACAAAGCCATTATAACAAAATGCCACATGAGGCTGCTGCCTCCCTTGTGCCACAGTAAAATGTCCCACTTCATTTCAGGAAAATACTACAGAGCAGATCTGAACTTCCCTTCCACCCTGCCAAAGCGGAAAGACAGCATGAAGCATTTTGAATACGATCCTCCTTTGTCTTGCTGTGGTATTTTCCAGTCAAGGCTTACAGGTAAGCTGGGTAATATCCTACTGCAAATGTACATGTTTGGGAAGCAGGATTTCATTATCTGCAAAAGCTCATACTGGCTTTACAGTAGAAAAAGCTCCTAGGAGCTCTGGTTGCTCATCTTGGAGACCCATTCTGCCAGTTCCTGGTAAAGAAAGTTAGTCTGGTTCAATTCACTCATCAAATGAAAGCTGTTTCTGCTCCCTGAGCAATTGTGCCTGACTGTGACAATGCAAGCCTGGTGCAAGCAATTATCCTTCCAACGCCTGTTTTAAACTTGCTGCTGCCACCAGAATGAGCTTTTTAGTGAGCTCAGTCAGCCAGTAGTGTGAAAAAGATTACTGTCAATGTATCCTATGTAAATGAAACTGAAAAGCTCCAAGCTGTTTTTCGCAGAAGGTATTTTGTAGTAGTTTCTCATCTGTCATGATTTGTAAAAGAGCAACTCACTTTGCTGTTCCCAACCAGGGGAAGCTCTGCTGGACCAGGAGGTGCCAGTCAGCTATGTGTACTCATCACCTGCACTCCGCTGCATACAGACAGCTCAACACATACTGCAGGGTAAGGCAGCAAAAGCAGCCAGGTGCTTTTGACACAGTGAAAATGTCTTCATCAAACTTCTGTGAAGTCTCTGAGATGAACAATTAAGAAGCTGTACAGCTTTGTGGTTATTTGTCATTACATTAAAGCAGGGAAGAGAAGGTGGGTTTTGTCTCACTAGCAATACAGGCAGTAATAAACCTGCTGCCGTATGTATGATCTGCAGAGTATGGTCCCATTAACTCTAGCCCTCGCTACTTAAAATGGAATCTAATGTTACATGAAATAGAGGCATTTCACATCAAGTTGAATTCACCATTAGTAGCTGCTCATCAGATCACCACTGCCACCTCTTCCAGAAAATATTCTGAGTCAAAAAGCAGATATTTCCAGTAATCTGAAGGATATCTATGTGAATCAGGGAAGACAATTTTCTCCTGAAAGCATTTACATTTGCAAGCCAAACTATTTTAATACCTTTGTATTGCCGAACCCCTTTCCACATGTCTGTCAGATTCACAGTTCATTACTATGTTTTCATCAGAATTATGATGGGAGTGTATTTCTTCTGGGAACTAGTGCCATTCAGTAAGCTCTTATGAGAATAATCAAAAAAAGAATGTGTCTTTTGATAAGAGGATTCCATTTTGAACACTGTAGGACAATTTAATGCCCCATCAAGGACCACTGAGCAAAATGCTACATAAAAATCACAAAAACATTTCCCATCTGAAATTTATCCGGATTATAACATCTACTGGGGCATTTTCTTCTATTGTCTTCTGTACCTTGCAGATCATCACAAGAGAGCTCCAGTAATAATAACATCAATGATGACAATAATGTAATAATTTGTAGTGCCTTAACATTAGTCAGGCAACATTATAATGATGGCTTCATTTAATCGATGTCACCCTCTTTTGTTTGAAAGTAATTAATTTTCACTGATGAAAGTGTTACAGCAAACAAGGCAGAATGTATAGCCTGAGTGTAACACTTGAGTGTACCTTCCTCTTCTTAAGTAATATTTCTTGTTCTTGCAGGGCTTAAATTAGATCAAAAAGTCAAAATCAGGGTGGAACCAGGACTGTTTGAATGGACCAAGTGGGAAGCAAGCAGAGTAATTCCTAACTTCATGACTGTGACAGAACTAGTAGAGGCATCTTACAAAATAGATACAAGTTACAGGTAATTGTTCCGTATGTAGCTGTTAGTCTTTTATTTTATTTTTTCCTGAGGTGTCTCCTCATCTTTTTAGAAACAATTATGAACATTGCAAAAACTGGGTGATTCTGGTCAAATTCAAGCCTGCATGATCTGTTCCCCAAGTAAGATGCTGTCAGCTGTCTTGTGACAAGAGTCAGCTTTGCCATTCTGACACAGCAACACATGTGCACAGTTGACAGTGTGTGTGTACGGAGCACATGGGTGCACCTGCACATGCACAAAACCTGTGTGCGGGACCAGCCCTGCTGTGGCGTTGCCTTCATATCTGCTGGCTCAGGCCCACGGTGTATCATGTGCAAGCATAGCTGTGTTACAGGCATTAGCCTCAGGTACCAGGAGTTTTGTTTTTACCTTTGGCTCATATGAAGCACACTTTAGGAATGTGAAGAATAACCTGTTGGGTAAATAGCATGCTTGTGTTCAGCAACAAGGAAATGTGACTTTACAAAAGGTTAGTAAGCTCTTTGCCAAGGGTCTGAAGGGCAGCAGCAAGATGGTGGCACAGGTTGGGAAAAGGCAGGGGAGCACAGCTCCATGCCTGAAACGTCGCTGGTTTGTGTCACTGAAGCAACAGACATAAAAGGAGGGGAAAGCAAGGGGCCACCCCTGTGCAGATCTATGGAGGTTCTGGGGAGAGGGAGGTGAGCCCAATAGAAGCCAGCCATCTTTCTGGTTCTTGGGGCAGGCAGGATAACAGCATTTCACTACAATTGATGTTTGTGCCCAATTTGGTCAGGGAGGGGGCTTGGTTTGGTTTGGCTTGCTCAAAGATTAATACTGTGCTCAGCAAGGTCTTTTTGGAGCTTTCACAACTTGGAGAGGGTGGGTGACACCTTTTCTGAGCACTTGCAAACCACCGCAGGGCAGGAAATGACAAACCTCCAATTCAGCCTAGCTCCTCATCTTGCCCACAAACCAGGCTGCTCTGTGTTCACAGTGCACAGCCAGGCCCAGGAAATTAGTTAGTTAAGAATGTCTCTTGGGTTTCCTACATGTACAAGAAAGAAGGGAAGGAAACATTTTGTGTCTTACTGTGTTTCTGTATTATGAAGCATAATGAAGCAAGTGTCTTCATTTGAAATTGCACAAAGGAACAAAATCCTTCATTTTTTTGGATCATAGTGTGTTCTGGTGTGTTTTACTACCAGCAGACTGTTTTTCCATATTTTTTTTTTCAGTACAACCTCACTTGCCTTGGGAGAAAGTGTGCAAATGTGGAGCAGTGGGAAGTTCAGAGAGGAAGCTCTGAAGCAATGTTAATCACAGGGTTTAGACCCCTCACAGCTCACTGAGATCCAACAGACTAGTTTTGAGTAACCCAATCTAGACTTGTCTAACCTAGCCAGGATTAATATGAACTATGATTAACAATCCAGGATGAGCCTTTCACATGCTTTTGCCACCTATTTTCTGTTACTGCCATTTGTGCAGAAATAACATGCCGAGGACTCACCTATGAAAGTACACTGTGGTACCATGCCTTACTACAATGTGTTAATCTAATCTCACTCCTGCCAATTCACTGAATAAGGAGACAATCAAATTAGGGTGTGGGGGGGGCAGTTTGTAGAAAAAAATTAGCACCCTATATTGTATCACAACGCATCACTATTTGCCAGCTGTAGCAGTGAATGCTTCCCATTCCCAGGTAAAACAGATTAAGAAGATGACATGAAAAATATAAAGTGAGTTTGGGGAGATTTTATTTTGTTGCTAAGAAGCGCTGATTCAATCAGCTAACTGGGTAGATATCAAAGACAGGAGCCTGTTGATAGCCAGCGAATGACTGGTTCTGCTACCTATTTTGCCTATCCTTCATCTCTGAGAAGGCTGTTAGGGCATCCCATCTTCAGGAGTTTGGTGTTCCCACCTGCCTACCCTTGGCACCACTGGCCACCGCACATCAGGGCTCTGCAGACTCTTCCCTGCTGCCACTAGACTGGGACAGGGAGTATGGCATCCATCAACCCAACCCCCAGCCCTATGCAGCTGCCCTGATTTGAAGCAGTTTAAAGGTCTGGCTCTTTCTTTTTTGGGAAAATATTGTTCAGTGCCTGAAGAGCCGCAGTATACGAAAGAACTGTGTCTGGTCTCAGTAGACATGCTCAGATAATTAGGAGTGGTGTATTGTAATTAATATCCCTGGAAACACTGTTTTTGGTTTTGTTGGGTTTCTTTTAACTCTAGGAGTAAAAATCTTTACCATCTATTTGTCCAGCTAACGCAGATATGCCTCACTTGTTGCTGATTTTCATTTGCTTTTTTTATTGAGGAGACTAACACTGAGACACCACATATTGAAAGCATTCACATCATCAGTGTCTTGCCTTGGATTGAACTCGGTCAGGATTGCTAGAGCTGCGGCTCTACAAGTCTGCAGTCCATAGCTGGACCATAGTGGTCCTTGCTGACAGAACTGCTCAAAGATTACACTCTTCTTAGGCACAAATCCTACCTTAAGTAATCTTCACTCTAACTTACAAGTTTTATTAAAGCATGGTGCTTCATGAGCTATGAGATATAGCCATAAAATTTGATGGAAATGACTATGGGGGGAAGCTAATGCTCCACGCAAGCTGAGGTAACAGTATATCAGCCAAGTCAGTAGAAAAACCTGTATCTGTTTAACCAACTGCTTTTTCTCTGGTGTAGTTATTCAATAGTGCTAACAGTGTCCAAGTATTCACTGGATTAACATATATTTGTGATTTGAATGTCAGGGGTAACTTTCCACTCTCTTCACTGGTGCCATCGGAAAGTTATGAAGAATTTGTTAGCAGAAGCTCTGCAGTTATAAAACAGATCATCACTGCCTGTCCCAGAAAAGGTAAAGGTTTCAGATCTTTGTATATTCTATCAGACACATCAGCAACAGAAACTGGCAGAGATTTGCCAACTGAAACACATTTAACGTGAGTTGTTGGTACTGCACAGAGCTTAAGGTAGAGCCTTCTTTCTGGGCTACAGTGAATTGAAATATATGCAATTTATGGGATAGAAATTGGAAAGTAAAATTAAAAGACAGCAGAGTGCTAAATCACAAGACTATACTCTCTGTTTGGTCTTTCTACATCAGGATGTAGCTCAAATAAGATCATCTACAAAGATGAACAGTCTCAAAATAGCCTCACACCCATCTGTTGATGGGTAACCTGACAGTGCTGCAGCTCCCTTACTACTTTGCTTTTTCCGGTCTATCAGGTGTCATCCTCATTGTGGGCCATGGCTCTTCTTTGACATCTTTCACCCGACCTCTGATAGGACTCCCCATCAGAGACAGCAGAGACTTTGCCCAGGTGGTACGAAAGGTAGGAAGACTTCAGCAAGAAACTTTCGCTTGGTTTTATTATACCTTTAATAAGGAGCCTGCTTACACGATGAGACGTGCATGTAACTGCATGCCAAAACAAATTATATTAGCTTTCTCATTACAAAGGGGATCTCATGAAGTTTTAGCAAAACACTGGAGGTCAAGAGAAGGATTTCCTCCTGGTAAGCAGTATGTGACTAGCAGCTAAGTCTTTGCAATTTTCACCCAACTCCACTGGAAAGTCAATGCCAGGTAACACCTACAGACATGAGGCTCATTTGGAAACCTCTCCATCTGGAGCTAGACTCCTTCTTTTAGGAATGGGGCTAAAAGCCTTCCCTCTCCTCCTTATGATGTTCTGAGTGTAACCTGCAGCTACATTCAGTGAAGCCACTCTTTAAGAAACTGTTTTTTAAGTCACTGCAATCTCACAATTTTCACACTCAACTACAGAATGGAGAAGGGGTTTTTGCCAGCTTCACAAGTGGGGCCTGGGCTTGAGACTTGGTCTCCAAAGTTTTTTGTTTACTCTGTTTGTGTATTATCACCAGTGACAGAATTTCTTCACCCTAGTTTTCCTTACCATATGCCCTAGTATGACCAACCAGAGAATTCAGTCTTCAGATATATTTTTACTACTGCAGTCAAAGGATAATAAGGTGTGAATATATTTTGATCATCAAATACAAGTGCGAATGTCTAGTGATGGCACAAGTTCAGGTTTCACCTACAGGCCTTCAGTCTGTTTTTAGTTCTCGGAATTAGCAAAATGTCCTGGTCTCTCCTCCCGTAACAATCTTGGTGTCTGATCTCTTCTGTAGCAAAGCCCCCTCTCTCATGTCAAAGCAATGGCCCTGCTAGTAATTCTGCTGGTAACTTCTTTCCTAGGTCCCTTCACTGGGCATGTGTTTCTGCGAAGAGCTGCAAGAAGAGAACAAATGGCAGATGGTCAACCCACCAGTGAAAATGTTAACTCATGGGGCAAATGCAGCATTTAACTGGAGAAATGGTATCATGGATGATTAGAAGGCAGGGTCTGCCTGTGCAGTTGTCAAAAATAAGCCAAAGAGAGGTTACACTTCACAGTCCAGTGATTCATCCAGAAGACTTGCAGGGGGTGGGAAATACCCTCTCTGAGTTGTCAAAGCACAGAAAAACACTTCCAACTTTCGTGCCTGAATTCTGTTTTTATGTCAGTGGCTGAGAAGATGGAACCTAGTAACTGGCATGCAAGTGAGAAATAAGTCTTCTGGTGGTGAAGAAAGTACCTTTTAATGTTTTCTGAGAGAACTAACATTTAATAAATATGGAACAATCTGATAACAAATTCTACTGCTAAAGGCACTAAAAGTAGACACTGTTGCATTTTCCAAGACCAAAATACATCCAGTAAGAGTTGGGTTTTTTTCATGCATTTGGATGTTTTCAGTCAAACAGAGAAACTGGGACTGAAAAAAGTAATTTCTTACCCAAAGAGGAGACTGAGACCAGCTCTACCTAAAGCGACTGGGTTTCCTGTTCACTCCTTCAGTTCCACAAGAGCAAACACCACACTATTTATTTACCTCTTCTACAAAGGAGGCTCATTTTCTATCACAACAGCTCCCCATTCAACGATTCTTGAGTGATCTGTATTGCAAAAGGGGCTGAATTATTCCTTTTTGAAGAAAACTGATTGCTTTACTGTTGCTAGGACAAAGAGATGCTTTGCGTTACTGTACTGATGACAAAACCATGACGTGAGCAACTCTAATCGCTGAACATTTCCTGAGATGGCACTTGCAGGACAACAGCTTTGCTTTCTGCTGTTCTGTGCCAAATTGTATAAATGGTGGCACGCCTACTGGATGGGTCACCCAAAAGGTCTCTGTAACTCTTCTTTTGGTGATTTGTTTGATTAAGGGAATGTAGGCCTGAAATTTTATGCACAAACAGCAACATGCCTTTCCACAGACTCTTTTCCTTTCTAGTTATCTCTTGGATAATTACCTCTGGGAAAGTACATTGTTTCTTTCAATGAAAGCCTAAAATGGAGGTTTCTCTTTTCCTCTTAGTACGACTAAAAATGTTTTCAATTTCACTCTTTGTCTCTGTGCTCCTTCTTGCCGTATCTCTGTATGCATGCTGTTAGCCATCAGGATACCCAACATTCAGCCTTCAGGACTGAGTGGTGTCTGACAAGCACCCTTGTCTGTGGGTGTGGAGATTTTGTATCTTGATCTTGCACCTGAAATGATTCATTTTGATTTACCAGCTCTGGTGAAGTTGCTCGAGCTCTTCCTTTTCTGATAGCACTCTCATTTTAAAGTGAAAATCAAATGCCCCAGGGCCAAGAAAGAAGCTCTTTAACTAGCAAGGGAGGACATGGGACTGTATCTCCACTTGCAGCTCAAGCGCATGAGATGGGTAGCTACTGATGCAGCTCCGGAAAAAGGTAAAAACCCCAAGTATTGTGACAGCCTCTTCTAGCTCCAGGGGAGCAGGAGGCCACTGCAGTGCTGAGAAGACTGTGGCTTGGTTACTTTTCCACATCTTGCCCCAGCACATGCTTGCTGTCAGCTGTGAGGGGTTGGTGTGGTGAGGGATGGTTTTGAACTGAGCCCTGAAGGCAGTGCAAGGCTCCTCTGTGGTCTTCAGAGAGGGCTGTAAGGCAGAAGTCTAGCTGACAAAGGGCCATCCAGTACATGAAAATCAGCACACAGTGGAAGAGAAAGGTGATGAGGGAGGGAGCAACATCTCAGTCTTTCATTCAGCCATGCTAACAGTAACCAGCAAGGGTCTCCCATCACACCACCTGCTCCTGGCTAAGGCTGGGCTCAGACCCAGCCATGAAGAAAAGTCTGACCCTCAGCTGGTGAAAAGCAGCCCCTTTGGGTGCTCTTCTTCCTCACTGAGGAGTCTGTCCAGGTGGGAAGGGAGGGGGAAATAGGGACAACAGGGCAATGGGGGTGGCATGGGGCAAGGACCTGGCCTTGGGCATGGCACATCTCTGGTCGTTCCTGGAAGGTTTTTGCTCGATGCCTGCAGAGGAGTCAGGTCACAGTGCTCCTGCGAGGCTTTCCTCTCCATGAAAGCTGTGGCTTTTGGTGCAGTTTTCTCTGATTTAATGAAGCAATTTCAAGATACAGGACAAGTGTCACCTGGGAAGCTGTCACCCCAGACTGAACCCCCCATGTGAGAGATGGTCCCAGCTCTGACCAGTGCTTGGGGGTAAGCACATGTTTACTTCTAAAGAACACTTTGTAGGATCAGAGCTGAAATTATATCTTTAGCATACAAGGGTTCTTAATTGTAAAATCTAGTGCTTAGGAGAGAGAATTCCTAATGTGGTGTGTTCACAATATGAAACTACTTGCTGAACACAGCTGAAAGTAACGAAATGTCCTTGGAAGCTTCGAAGTTGTTTTTGCAGTAAGCAAAAGACACATAAAATTCTTTTCCAGTTTCTTGATTTTTTTTTTAATGCAACTTCAAAAAATAGATGTTGCTTTACTACATTGCAATTTTCTTTGATTGGATCTATTTCACTACACATTTATGTACTTCAATAGATGCTTTTAGTACCACTTAGAGAATCTGAGTGTTTTGTTTATATCTTAAAACCTGAAAATATAAATTCTTTTGATAAAGACCTATAGAGACGTTAATCTATGGTGACACCTTGTGGGGAAAACACTACCTCAGATTTACGTGACTAAATAAGATCTGGTGTGGTTGAAAGATGGGTCAGAGAAGCAAGCTTTATTTATTATTTATTTTTCCAGGCAAGAATGCTCCTTCCATACACTTTGAAAGGATAGTAACATAGAAATTTATAATGGTTTTTGTGACTACTTTTTGGCAGAACTGCTTGGAGAAACATTAGAGTCCAGTTCTTCTCAAAAGCAAGATAAAAAAAATACTACAAATACTTTGTTCATGATTTTTCCAAAGCTTTTTCCTTGTGCCAGCATTGACCTATGCAATTCAGCTCAAAACAGTAATTAATTCTATTAATTTTTTGCAATTTTAAATCATGAAGTGGGGACTAAATCAGTTGAGTGGATTTTTGACTTTCTCCTGAGAGCTTTGTTAGTGAAATGTTTCAAAACAAAAGGAATTTTTTTCTTTTATTTATTATTTTAAAAATTATTTATAAAATACTGCATGAAACTATTATGAATTTAGAAGAACGTATGGTCTTGACCTTCTAGTGCTTTCTTCAATGGGTGATTAAAAATTAAAATGTTCAAGACTTTCTGAACTTGAGAACAGCACAAAAGCTTTGAACAAATAAAAGACTCTACTAGGAGGAATAGGAAGGAGTTAGTGAATTACTGAATTTTACAGTCCTGTTTCTGGTGGAGATCACAAAAGGTCTGGAGAGTGCTTTGGGGCTCTTGACTTGTAATACCTTGTTAGAAGACAAACTGCAAAACCTCCAAATGGGATCTCCCTGAGGTTCCTGGGGTTTTGGTGATGATAATCTCTTGGTGTGAGATCTTGACAACCCCAACTGCCTCATTTAGCTTCGATGAACTCCTGTGACCAGCTTCTATGTCAACTGTGGAAAAAGTCTCATCTCTGGGGAAGAGGTAGCTCTGGAAGTCATATATGACTGAGTTTCCTGATGTTTTTCTAAGGCACCTGCAACATAGATACTCTCAGCACCATTTTTTTTTTTCATACACAGCTTTACACATGGAAGGTAGTTACTGACTCTTAACCTCAAATTCATCATGTCTTACATGTCATTGATGTACCAAAGCCAGGCTGGACCTTGGGGACTTTGAGCAACCTGGTCTAGTGGAAGATGTCCCTGCCCATGGCAGGTGGGTTGGATGAGATGATCTTTAAAGGTCCCAATCAACCCAAATCTTTCTATGATTTAAAGGCAAAAAGCTGGGCACCTAAATAAATATCAGATGCATAGGTTAAAATAGTCTAATATTTTTAAACAACATTCACCAACTTTGGAGTAAGTGATTTGGACATGAGAATCATGATCTAAGGTTGAAAACCTGGAAAGAAAGCTTCAAAGCCTTAAGTTCAATATCATATCCTCGCACTCAGCACATCTCTTTTTTTTTTCAGTCTATTTAGGAAGAGTTCTGAAAAATTACTGCTCCACTACTACCTAAAAAGGTCTTTGTTCATTACTGAGAAATTAAGATGCAGGAGGATGAGAGAGGCTTAGCGCACCTTCATGCAACAAGTTTTGGCAGGGGTTCTTCCTTCTCCAAGATACGAATGAAGCAACTGCTATTAAGTAGTTTCCAAATGATCCTTAAGATATTTCTGGAAAAGACAGTAAAATTAAATGTCTCCTCTAACAAAAGCACTGGTGGTCTAGAAAAGGAGCAAGCCATCTTCTCAGGAGCACTTTTTAACATGTTAGAGACTTCTGGATGTTCTGTTTTCTATGACTGTATTCCTGACAGGATGCTTTTTTTTTTCTTTTTGCAGGTATACCACTGGAGGTCACTCATGCACTAATAAACAGTACAGTGCTGCATGGAAAAGGTAATATAAATTATCCAAGAATGAACTCAGCTTGACCCAAAGATTACTTTTAAATGCAAGAGAGTTAGGAAATATGTTGTGTGGATATTTCTCAGTATAGTATAATATATTAAACTAGCAAGTAAACCAATGGTTTTTAGTTTTTTTATGAAAAGACAAACCCCACCAACATTAGTAAGCCAAGTTTGCTCTGATCTAGCTACAGTAATAATGGATATGCATCATTTAAGAGGAAAAGACAAACACCTCAAAATGCTTATGGAAGTCACATCAGTGTGATAAGAAATTGCAGTGAAAATTGCAGAGAAAAAGATAGGAGGGGAAAGATTGCATGGTGATTTTCTTACTATGAAATTTCTGATACAAGAAAAAATGCAAGGAAGAAGTAATAAACTATTTCATATGACTCATTTCCTAACCTCCGCTTTCTGTCACTCCACTTTTATCACTAACTTTTAAAATTCCAGGCATAACTTTGCTGAAATTGGGAGTTGTAGATATAATGAACTTGTTAAAATGTTTTCCGTCTTTCCCCTAAAATAAAATTTTAGTATAGATTTCCTGTTCTGAGGTGAATAAAAAAATGCAAGTCCTGTTTCAGCAATACCAGTACAACATCTTTTATCCCAATTGGGCCAAAACTGATTATTTTACTTCAAAAAAAACCTGCTACTGGCTGGCAGCTCTCTGCCTCAGGCTCCAGGCCCATCAACTTTCATACCCACAGTACAGAAGAGTCAAAGTCAGACAGATACATATATTAATAATTAGGATATCGCTTACATATTATCAGGAAAAACTGTTTCAGAGCAGAATTATTCACCTGCAGAAGAGGAGAAAAGATTTGTCTGTGGCATTTAGTGCTTGTTTAATACTTTGTGCAGCTCTGCCTTGCTCTGTACTTTTAAATTACTATTTATATAATGCCATTTGATTCCGGTAGCTTCCAGGGGACTTCTACAGCTGCTCTCTCCTGCTGGCTGCTTCTGATTGACAGGTTCTTAATTTAAAAGGGCTGCATGTTCAGTAGTTGACTGCCTGCTGATTAGAGGGTGCTGGACTGTTTTTTGTCTGCTGTATAGGCATGCTTATTCACCTAGGAGATAAGAATACAGCAAGCAAAGCTTTTGTCAATTTGCAAGAGTGCTGGAGAAAGGCAAAAACTCTCCTTCAAACAGCGTGGGACTGTGCAACACCAATGTTGATGAGCTACTGGGCCTGATCTTCAGCACCAGTGAAGAATGTACCCTTGGCACATCAGTGGTGACAGCATAGACAGGGATTGGGCAGGGGATGTTGTGTCTGACTCTCTCATGGGGCTGTGGGTAATGGGTTCCTCCCTTACCCAGGGAGGTGTGTGATGGTCCATGTGCTGTCTGTCCAAGGACTTGAAGGAGGTGTGCAGACTGTTCATTGTTAAGGAGAATAAATAGTATATCAACAGGGTCTCCACAGAGGTGAGAGCTTGAGCCTGAGGTAGAGACATGTCTAGGGGCTGTGCAGGATGGCGCAGTGCCTGGGGACTCCCCTGAGGGAAGCTGTTGAAGTTCACAATTTCTGGCAGCAGGAGAAATGTTGTTCCTCCTCCTCCTTGCACAGACATGAATGCAGAGAGTTGGTATTGAGCCCTAATAGCCATAGGAGTGGAACAGATGCTGCTAAGAAAAGCTTCAGAGACATTCGTGCTTGGCTTGAGCATCTGCAGCAAGTGGTAGCAGTTGGAGATCCCCTTCTGATACCTTGTACATTGGCCATTACTGCCATCCACTAAGTGATATTCAGGAGTGGTAAGTAAATGAGGCAGGATGATGGGAGCAAGATACCCCTTGGGAAAGATAAAACAAGTCAAAAGGGAGCTTACCTTTAGTATATGTATACAAATGTTTCCCAGACTGGGAAACAAAAATGAACTAGGAACTGCTGTGTGTGCAGATGCAGAACTGTGACATCTTTGGAAAAACATGGTGGGACAGCTCACACACCTAGAGCTCTCTGATGAATGAGGGGATCATCAGTAAAGATAGAAAGGGAAAATAAGCAGAATTTTCCCCTATGTGAAGAAGCAGCTTGAATGCATGGAGGTACTATGGACAACATGCTGGTTGAGAGCTTGTGGATATTAAGTAAGTGTGGCATAGTGTTGGGAATTTGTTGAAGATCCACTTTTTTACCCCAATCCACTTACAGCCTCCTTTAAACAGCGTAAGGAAAGCTACACGGAAGCAAGAAACTTGGGACTGAGCTGCAACATACAAAAATAACTGCAGTAGTATGTGGAAAGTGGAAGGAAAACATACTACAAAGAAAACATTTAAAAAAAAACTATACCAGTGTGTTAGGAAAGCAAACTTCAGTTTGAATTCAAACTAGAGTAACAAGAAGAGCTTCTACAGCTACATGAACAATAAAAAAACTAAACAAGAAAAATGTAGGCCTATAATTGGTCTGGTGACAGGGGATACAGATAGAGCTAAGAAACCCAGCGCTGCCTTTGTCTTCACAAGCAAGACCCCCAGTTCTCTGTGCCCAGAGGCAGGGTTCAAGGAAGAGAAGAACTACCAGCTGTGGGAGAAGATTGGGTTTGCTTCTGCAAACGTGTGAGGACACAACTTCATGAATCCAGAATAACCCTGGACTGAATTCAAAAACTGACTGCCTGCTATGTGGAATAAAGAAAGTTGTAAGACTGCACACTCTGAGATCATAAAATTTTCAGAGATGTATATTCCAGACAGAACAGTGACAGATATGTTTATTCAAAGTATCTTAACACAGCTTTTTTTTTTTTTTAATGAATAAAAATATTGCAGGTTTACCATAATAAATTATTTGCACTGAAATTTCCTTTTTTTTTTTTGGGCTCTTCGTTTCTAGTTATATCCAATTACTCTGTTTCCTGTGATTCTTCCTCCTTATCCTTTAAACCACTAGCTTCTGTGGAGACAAAGGAAAGACAGGACATAGAGATGCATTTAATTACAAAATACTGGGAAGTAATCCTAGTAACCTAAACCATAATTCTAGGACAGTGCTGTCTATCTCTGTCCTCCTCCCCCAGTGCCTTTCACTGCCAATATTTGAATTTAACTGTTATACATTGTCAGCTGCCAGACAGACTTGGTACACACATATTGACTGACAGCCAGCCCATATGTAACCCTGGAATAGCCAAAGAATGTCTCCTATTTAGATGGTATCGTAAGAAATGTGGAGTGAGAAGGATGGAATTCCTGTGTGGAAAAAAATGAGGGTAATGGGACAGAGAATATAAGGCTGCAAGAAAACAGATTTTGTTACATCTGCTCTTCACAGCACGTGTGTGTTTTTCAAATAATTTCCTCTTACTATAACTTAATCTTGTTAAGGACAAAGGGAACAATATGTTGCCTAATTAATTATGGGTGTAGACCTATGTTAAAAAAAGTATAAAATCATCCAACTCTGATTCTAGAAATAAAGAACTGAAAGGAACTTAGAGAACATCAATCACATTCCTACATTTTCATGCATGTGTATCTGCATCTATGCTGTCTCTGACAGATACTTGGGTCCATTTTTCTTTAGGAATAAACAAAACCAGTGGGGATACCAGAACCACTACACTGTGGTAGTCCAGAAAATTTGTTAGAATAAAGTTCAGTCAAAATGGTTATTTGAGTCCAAGATACTATGAAACAAACCAGGCTCAATGAACTTCTGCCAGATCCAAAGCAGGGCCATGCAGGAAATCTGCTGAGATTTCTGCTGAATCTGATCCAAGCCCAGGGATCCTGTAAGATGTCAGTCCTACATGCCAGATCAGCTAACTGGCCAGTCTGCCCTGAAGCAGGAGAGCACCTTCAGAGGTGATGGGTGAAAAAGATGAGAGCAAATGAACTACAAAAATTCCAAGAGCTGACCTAGACATTTAGCATATACATCCAGGCATTTTCACACAGTTTAATAGTCCTTCTGATCCCTATGGGTAATACTTTGTTTTGATATATCATAAAATGGACTGATTACAAAAGGATAAATTTAACTTATGTTTTCATAGATCAGATATGTAAGATTGTAAAGGTTAGCTCTTAGTAAAGGCAAACAACAGAATTGGGTGGAGCACTAAATCTGAGTAATCATAGCTGCATCCTTTTGTTGCTTCTTAGTAATTTTCTATTTAAAACAGGCTTCTGAATTCCAAATCTCTTTGTTTTGTAGGAGAATCAAACCAGCTTGTGACTACTCAAAATAATGCATAACAGTACCTAAAAATTGTTTCTTCATATTAGTTTTCCCTGCTTTTTTACTTCAGGTAAGAGAATAAGAATGCATAGTTCCATTCACGAGAGAAAAGTGGAGTCCTCAAACCCCCTTGATTTTCCCAGGGTCTGAAATCTTCTCTCTTTTGTAACGAAAAATAGTTTGCAAATGCAATTACTAACAAACTCAGCTCAGCAAGTGCTGTCAACTATACATGCAAGATAATGCTGCACAGAAGTGGCACTTCCAATTTGTGTTGATACAGCTTATGAACTTGACTACTCAAAACCAGTTGACATCTGTAGAGGACAGCCCCCCTTATGAAAGATAGAGTTTCCCATGGTCTCTTCAGCTTGATGGTAGAACTCTCAGCAGCAGCATGACTTCAACAGATTGACGTACATCATTTCAAACCCTAATTGAAGAATGAGCATTCATGCCTCATTCCTCACCTTAATCCTCCTGGTCTTTGTTTTCTTCTTCCTCTCTGTTTTCCTCCTCTTCCTCTCCTGTGTCCCTCACTGAGCTAAGAACTTCACTGGATGCTTCAAAAGGAGAAGGCTCCTCATACCTACCCTCAGCAGACTCATCAGTGACTGAAATAGGAGAAATTAGAAATACTAAAGTAAACAAATTTTACAAATGTGCACTCAGCCATTGTTTTCATGAAGTAGCTAATAACTTCTACTGAAGTCTGTAGTCTTTACTCACATGAGAAATCCCACAAAATCTTTTGTAACTGTTTATTATCAAGTCTGTATAACAAGCCATGATATAAACTAAAATGATATACAGACTTCCCGAGACAGTTGTAACTCATTGTGCTAGATGAAATAAAACAGACATATATATATTGTGCAGTCTAGGAATAGACTTGGAAGTTCCTAACATTCAATATGTGGTAGATTATAGGAGAAAAAAAAACCACAACCCAAACCCAAAATACAAACCTCTCACACCACTTGATATTAAACCTGAAAAACATGGTTTCAGGGGAAAGTCAAAGCATGGAGTTTCCAGTAGAACAAACCTGCAACGGACGGAACTGTCTCCTCTTCAGTTACTGCTGCTGCTGGTCTTTCTTCTGCTCCATCACCTCCTGCTTCTGGTTCTGGTGCTGCTGGTGCCTCCAGGGAGGCTTCTTTGGGAGGAGGTGGAGTTTCCCCATGGGGAGTCCAGAGTGTTAGTTTGGTAATTTTTGATGCTTTCCATTTTGGCTCAGCAAGTAATGAGGGCTCCTCCTCCTCTTCTTCTCCTCCTTTATCCTACAAGACAGCTCATGAAATCCAGCTTCTCACCTCACAGGTATTAAGGGAGTAACTAAGATGATGGTTTTGTGTACTAAAACCTCTTTATCTGGGCTCAAAATGGTGATGACATGGCCTTTTAAAGTATTTACAGGTGGAGAAACTTCAGCAGCTGCTATTCCTGGAAGAAAACTACACTTTGAACCTTGATGAAGCCAGTTGACTATTACTAATGCCGAGTGCTTAACCTTGGGTTCTTAAATTCACATTTAATATTCCAAAATCAGCACATCCAGCAATTCCTACTGAATTGAGGATACTAGATACACATCACTTTGGATGCTTTTAGCCAAAATAGCAAAACAGCCTCCATGTTTTGCAAATCTCTATCACTAATGATAGGAGGCCTTATTATTATTATTATTGCTTTGTCCTTGCCTTAAGAAATAACTGCTGCATTGAAGGATTTTCAGAGTGGGTAATGAGAACTAATGTGTCAGAAAACAGAGGCAGCAAACTCTAAGCTAAAATGTGGCACATTTTCATGAAATCAAACCAGTAATATTAATATACATTTATTTCTATAACTATTTTGCAGCATATTAATCAGAAATGTTTCAAAACATTCATGCGTGAAGGAAAAACAGGGCCTGATCCTAACTGCTCTCTACAGGTATTAGGAGTGTGGATATTAAGCTCCTAACAGGACCAGGACAACAATCATAGAATCATAGAATGGTTTGGATTGGAAGGGACCTTAAAGATCATCTAGTTCCAACTGTCCTGCCATGGGCAGGGACACTTTCCACTAGACCAGGTTGCCCAAAGCCCCGTCCAACCCAAACTTGAACACTTCCAGGGATGGGAAGAGGTCCACAACTTCTTGGGCAACAATGGGACATACTTCCAATACATGAATCTGCTGGGAATTATCACTTGTACACATAGCATCAAGCAGTTCAGAAATATAAGAATATTTGACATTGTTTTCTGGTGTTTCAAACAACATGGAATATAGGCAAAATATACAGACAAATTCTTCTACATTCTTCTGTGGTTTGAAACTTCAAATTTTTGGGAAGATCCTGATTCTTCTAAACTTTAAGCATAAAAGACTCCCGTCTGCAAATACAGGAAAATCACAACCTGTACTTGTCAAAGATTACACAGTAGAGAAGCTAAAGAAAAAGCAAAATGAAACCTCATTTAGTTTTTAAGAATGCATGAGTTTCTACCTTTTTTTGACTGGTTAGATCTACTTTAACATCAGTGTCTCTAAGGCATTTTATAGATTACTCAACAATAGATTTGCTTTACAGAGTTCCCCAATATTCAGTATAATTTGCACTATTTTTTTTACCTGCTCTTGTTGTATGTATTCACCGTGCTGCTCACATCCAAAATCAAAGACATATTTGCCACGACCTACAGGCTGCACAAAGATACAAAAGTCAGCAGAACTATGAAATTAATACATTGTAAGCATATAAATGTAAAATGTGCTTTCCTACAAAATTCATACAATGGCCAATAACAATATAGTTAGAAAGCAAAGATTCAGGGAAACTTGTCATTCTGTCCTAACAGGTTAATTCAGTTTCATATGTTACACTTAAGGCACAAGAAATACTACAAAAGATCAGCAGCCTAGACCAGCAGGTCAGAAGAGGTGATCCTGCCCCTCTACTCTGCTCTTCTGAGACCTCACTTGGAGTATTGTGTACAGTACTGGTGTCCTCAACATAAAAAGGACATGGAGCTGCTGGAGCAAGTCCAGAGGAGGGCCACGAGGATGACAAGAGGACTGGAGCACCTCCTGTATGAAGACAGGCTGAGAGAGTTGGGGCTGTTCAGCCTGGAGAAGAGAAGCTGCGTGGAGACCTCATAGCAGCCTTCCCATAGGGGGCCTACAAGGATGCCGGGGAGGGACTCTTTGTTAGGGATTGTAGTGGTAGGACAAGGGGTAATGGCTTTAAACTTAAACAGGGGAAGTTTAGATTAGATATAAGGAAGAAGTTCTTCACAGTGAGGGTGGTGAGGCACTGGAATAGGTTGCCCAAGGAAGTTGTGAATGCTCCAACCCTGGCAGTGTTCAAGGCCAGGTTGGACAGAGCCTTGGGTGACATAGTTTAGTGTGTGGTGTCCCTGCTCATGGCAGGGGGGTTGGTACTAGATAATCTTAAGGTCCTTTCCAACCCTAACTATTCTATGATTCTGTAAGTCCATGCTAACTGTTCAGATGAAGAAAGACTTTTCCAGGCATACTTACCTTTCCATTTGAAAACCTGCCCTGAAATCTGTGGTTTAGGTAGATAAGTTCAGCTTCTCCTTCCTGGTTTCCATTTACCCAACCACCAACGTATTTAGATCCTGTGTCTTTATAGACATATGTACCTTGCCCGTGCCTAAGGAGAAAATAATAATTTTGCTTTATATTACTGAATATTAATAGTTTAGGATGTTACTATACTTTAGGTATTAAAACTGTATTGTTTAAGTAGCTGAAATGACTCAAGTTGGACTAAACTGCCAAGGTCATCCAGTAGCACTTGATTTGCTGCAGTCAGCCATGTTTTGAAAATAACCTTTGCATTTTAATGCTATTGGGTGACTTGAAACATCACTGTAAGAATGAAACAAACCTATAGTGGTTAAACCACTCTCCAGTATAGGTGTCTCCATTCGCATAGGTATACTGTCCATGGCCATGTCTCTGGTCATCCACCCAGTCTCCTTTAATGAGAATACAATAAAAACAGTGTGAGATGTGGTTTATTTCATTGTGTGATACAGTAGTCAGTTTGTAGAGTTATCATACATGAATTACTAGAGAAGGAAAAGAAAGCTATGACACCACTGTGATTCCTTACCATTCCTTACTCTAAACCCTTGCTCTTTTTAATTGTCATCCCTCTCCGCACATATTTATGCAGCTGCCTGACCCCCCATTCATTTTCATCACCATCTGTCTCCATTATCACTCTCCATCATCATTATGAACACAAAAAGCCATGTAACGTCCTGCTCCTGTCTTTAAATTTGGTAATGTATTACACTTGCATTAGATAATGTGACATTTCCATTCAAATAAAGAGGGACTACTTTAGTTTGACTCATTTGCTAAAATTGTCCTGTCAATCAGGGGGCTTTTATATACTCAAAAGGATGCTAGACTGTGTGCCTTAATTACTCTTTCATTAAAACTTAAGAGAAATTAAAAAACCAAACACAGGTGCATACGTAAGGCAAGACTAGGCTGCTCTTTTTGCTCTCTGCTCCTAGCCTTCACAGTGTGAATGTTTTTTCTTGTCTGGCTTAGAAAGGAGGGTGGGAAATACTGTTCTTTGAAGCCTAATTCAGAGCGTTTTGGATGCTCTCCTGGAAGAAGGGAAACAAGGCAAATTTGAACTTCTTCAAATTTCAGAGGCATCCCAATCCCTAAGTGCTCTAATCAGTAAACTGATTTTTAAGGATGGACCTAATAAAGTCCTAAAATACTTTATACTGAATACATGTGTCATTCTAATCATCATTCCAAAGTATATTTTCTTGTACTGAGATTGCATTGATTTGTAAAAGATACTTAATATTTCTCAGAACTTGGAGGATATGACAAGAATAAACCGCTACTAAATACCTCACTTTTCATAATAATTGACATAAATCCCCATAAAAAACCCACACACTTCTCAGAGCTTCTAATAAAAAAGGAATAAAAGGAAAATATTTTGTAGCAAATCTGTTTTCTTAAAATAATGCATCCTCCAATTCACTATCTTCTTG